GGCTTTTTTCCTAGAGGACTTTATTTTTTCTTTTTTTCTTTTTTCTTTTTTTTCTTTTTTTTTTTTCTTTTTAAATGCGAATCGTGTTGATTCTTTTTGAAAACAAACCGCCCGACCGCGCCGCGCACACGAGCCTCCGCGAGGGAAGCAGCCCGGTGAAAATCGCCCTCGGTTTCCATGGACAACCCGTCCATTATCACCCAGGTGACTAACCCCAAAGAGGAGGAGATCCTGTCCTGCGCTCAGGATAAAGGTGAGATGCGGGGTTTTGCCCCTCATTCCCGAAAAATCGGGGCTCGGGAGCGCGCTCTGGAACCACTTGCCTCCCTTTGGCTCTAACCACCCCCCCTGGCAGGCTGCTGGGGATAGAGCAGCCCTTGTTCCTGCCATTTCCTTGGAGATCGCCCCAGCTGCTCGCTGGGTGCACCCAGGAACTTGTTACAGTGTCTAAATATTAAGTTTACCCCGTGCTTAAATAAAATATGATGTGTCTGAAGGAGCGGGGATGTCACTTCCCTAAGGTTGTCGCTGTGCGGTGCCCCAGGGGACAGAGCCGTGATGGGTTCCTGGGGTGGCTTTGAAACCTCAGCTTGAAGGAATCCTGTTTTCCTTCCTTTTTGGGGAAAGAGAAAAATAAAAAAAAAGAAAATCCAGCAAAATTCTGCTTTCTTCCTCTCCCTTCTTTGCTCTTTTTCCCTGCTTCATATTTAAGCGCGGGGCTGTGCAGTTGGGTTTTTTTCCTTGCTGGAGGATCGCGCCTCCGAAGGAAATGTGGGCCACTTCTAAAAGTAGGAAGTGGAAACTCCTCTGCAGATAAATAGTTGCTGCTTGCGCGCAGCGACGCGCTCGGGCTGCGCGTTGCCAGCTCCCAAATCCGAGGAGTCGCGGGCGGCCGAAGGAGCTGCCGCTTTGGGAGCCTCCGGCCACCGAGAGCTGCCCTGGAGCCCCTTCCCGCCTGCAAGGTGAGAGGGGCCTGGGGCTCTCGGGGGTGGCTGTGTCCCCATGGATGGCCCTGGCCCCATGGATGGTCACGAGCGGTGCTGGATGAGCGGAGGGGAGCCTGGAGGCCACAGGGCTCGGCTTCTTGGGAATCAGTTGTGACTGGCCACGGATTTTCGGAGTTATCCGCGCACTCAGTTGCCTGCGTTGTTAGTGCTGGTTTTAAAAAGAGAAAAGGGGCAAAAATCACTTGTGTGTGAAAAAGGGCCTGTGTGCTGGTGATGTCCAGAAGATGCAACACTAAATGATCTGAATGATCTTCTAAAAATGATAGATTGGTGTGTCTTCCTTCCCCCTCCCCCACTACCAAATTTGGTGCTTTTAACAGAAAACAACTTCCATTTTTGCCTGACTTGGAAATAGAGAGGGGAGGCCGAGCACAGGGAGAAGTTGCTCCCTGTTTGATTAAAACTCGCTTTCTAATGAAAGCCTGCACGTAAAATGACTGATTTTGTGAATGTTGAACGAAGAGCTATAGGGATGAATTAAAAAATATTGTGCCAGTAAGAGGCAGGGAGTAATTGCAATGAAAGATTATTTTTCCCATTCGGTATAGGAGTTCTCACACAAATCTGTTATTGCACTATATACGGAGTGAGGTGTCCGTCGTGACGCCTTGTTCATCTTGAGAGATTTCTGATGTTTTCCTCTGTTTTGACAACATCAAGCATGGGGTAGGCTACAGTAAATAAAAGTACCAACGCTGGGTGTGTGATGTCTTCTAAGACCCATTTGGAGCAAATTTACATGGTACAGTGCTCAGACATTGCGAGGATCTTCAGGGCCTACACTGCAAGGTGCTTTGCTGGTACTGTTGGCAATTGGTTGAAATTTTGGTGTAAAAAAGCCAGTTGACACAAACGGAGGAAAATCTGACAGGTCAGAATAACAGTAAGCAGCTACATCAAACAAGTGTCTCCGTAACCTCAGTGAGCTACGCTGCGTGCACAAAAGATATGCCTATAACTTGCATAACTATGCAGTAACTTGCATAATATACATTGTGTTTTGTCTGTGTTAGGGAGAAAATCACAGTGGTCTTAATTATGTACTAGGGCTCCTTAAGCTGCCTGTAAGCAAGAGTAGAGTGAAGAAGGGTGGAAGAACGGGAGCTAGGGATTAAAAAGAGGAAAAACTCAGCCTGGTTTAATATAGAAGGTAGGTTATTTTATGCAAGGCTTTTTTTTTTTTTTCTCCTCCCCAAACGAAAGTGCAAGATCAACTTTCTTATTTCATAACGTGATAATACACGTCGTGTGTTTGAACTCTCTCAAATCGTTCCAGAGCAGCTTTCAGGGAAGGAGAATTGTAAACCTCGAACTTCCTGGGCTCTGGAATGAGGCCGCTGGCTGCTCCTGCCCCTTCTGCTACAGGTTTCCCCTTTGCTCAAGATACTGAGCTTAGAGAAAATTCATTTTATACCTACCTTCTGTGCCTGCAAATCACGTCACCCACCTTTTCCCTTGATTTCCTAGCAGTTTTAGCAAATCTTTTGGTTATGGCATGCTATAAATGAGCCCGGAGCTGAGATGGTGAATATAGTGTGAGCAGGGATTGTAAGGTGGTTCTTCATGGAGGTTTGGGATGCTTAAAGTGAGTATTTGCCACTAGTTTTGATGAATCTGGATGTTCTTGTGCAGAATGGCTAACAAATGTTAGGACAAACCACCCTGTGATTTAGCTAATAATACAAGTGTTATTTGGGCTTATGCTCTCAAATAATTGTGTAACGTAATAAATTGCAGCAGCACTGTAATATGTGAGCAAAAGCCATTCAGTTTAATGAAAACCTGCTTTCCCTCCGAGTTTAAGGTTTCGCTGCAAAACCTGTTTCGATCAAAATACCAAATATCACCAGGTAGTGTCAGGACTTGGTGGTGTGTGTGTGGTTTTTATTTATTAATATTATTTATTATTATTATTATATATCTATATGAGGGGACTTCTGGGGGTGTTTCTTGTGTAAGTTTGACTTTTTCTTCTTTTTAACTTAAAGAAAAGCAGCTTTACAGTAGCTGAGCAACTGCAAAATGCTTCTTGCTTGTTGTTTTGAAGCTCTTAACTGTGAGCTGAGTGTTCTTTTTTTTTGAGGCATTTACATATTTAAGGAACTTAATATGTAATCTATACTTTTACCCAATTATTATAAAAAGATGTGTGTCTGGCAAGATATGTTTTATCATAGTAATGGGGCAGTTATGTTTTCAGGTAAATATTGTGCTTTATAAATAAAAATATGGCCTGGATATTTTCTTGCTAATCCAGATATATTAAAAATGAATTATTGAGATAAAAAAGTTGTGACAACTAAAAGGACTAGATATTAATTCTAGGATAGAATTGTAATGATTATATTTTTAAGAAATAGTTAAAAAATTAGGAGGTTGGGGGAAAAAGAAGATCTTGCTGTACGAACCATTCCCTAATATGTTGCCACATGGTGGTGCACTGTATTTAGTTGTCTGTCAATATGAAGGTTGCGCATGGAAAGTTGTTACAATAGCATTTTATTATTATTCCTATTTTTGCTCTGAAATGTATATGCTGCTTCTGCTCCTTACTGATTTTGGTCCCTAACTATGTTGTTAAGTTAGTGCTGAAAAATAGAAACTTATTTGTACTCTAGCAGTTGGAAACAATATTTAGCTATTAAAAAAATACTTCAAGCACTAAGCTAATAAAAACTAACAGAGAATTAAAATTTCTAAGTGAGGAAATTAGCAGCTCTTCAGAGAAAGGTCGTTTGGCACTTTTGAAAATTCGAGGCATTAATAAGATGTGGAAAATTAAAATGGAGACACAAGTTTGCAAAAAGGATTTTCTCATACCAGTGACAGAAGTTAAAAATCTGAATCTCAACATAATCATTTTTTGCAGATAAAATAAATTGTTTGTTTCCTAATGAAATTACTTATTATTAACCACTTGAACAATGACCTCTAATGTGCCAGTGAGGTTTCTTGGAAAACAGAGTAACAGTAACTCTTTGCACTGAGTATAATGCAGACAGTGTAGTAGCTGATGTGCAGTGATGATCAGTCCAAAGAGGTATGTTTTCCTTTTTGACTTCAGTGCTTTATTTTGATCCTCCTAACTGATACAAATTCTAGGGTGTTTTCAGGTTCAAAACCGTATTATGTGGTGTAATAATATTCCAGTCCTTTTAGAGTTAACAATTATTCAAGATTGTGGTGCTTAGTTTTCTCTCTTCAGATACGTCTTTTTTTAACTGTAAAATTTGACTGTTAGCTGAGCACTCATCTTCATAAGTGCATGTTTGTCTCTGGAGGGGAAAAAAAAAAAAAAAAAAAAGTATTCTCTTGTGTGGTAAAGCATTGGAAAAAGGTTAAAAGTGGAGCCTAAGCTATTACCAGTATTTTTAGTAGTGTACTTCCTTAAGGATTTTTTTCCACAAGAGGCAAGAATTTTTGTCTTCCCCTTCTGGAAACAAAATTGAGAAACACAAAAATAAGAACAGTATTTATAATCATTGGAAATTAGAAGTACTTAAGATGTTCAGTTAAAAGTCTCTCTCTAGATTGCAACCAAAATAAGAGTCTTGAATGTTATTTTCAATAAAGCACACTTTGAAAATACACAAAAATATTTAGGATAGTCATTTCTTTGTTATTAATTCATGAAGTGAAGATGTATTAACGTTCTTGAGACATCTCAGTACTTTTTTTATAATATTAAGTGCAATATTTATACTTTAAAAAGTAACACTAAGAAAACAAATGTAGAAACCACTCCAGCACGACGTTGGAATGTGGATTCCTTGCAGAGGGTAAAGTTTTAAATCATTAACTAATGACATAGTTGTTACATAAAACCTACTGTATGGTTGCTCCGGTGTCGTGTTCCAGGGTGACTGTAGTAACCTAGGGTTTGATTTAAGGTAGCCGTTAGCAGGCTGCAGTGTACTGGCAGTAAAGAGAATGGTAACTGCATGAATATCTAATACTGTTTCTTCCTAGCTGCACGTCATGTTGGCTTCTTATTTGTTCTAATGCAGTGATTTAACATGCCTTAAAAAAATTAAGTTGCCCATATGTTGTCAACTGAGTATTCAGCAGTGCAATTGGCAACACCCTTTTCTGATATTATTAGCACAATGTAGTGTGGTTGCTGCTAGGAATCCTTCAGAATTTAATTTGAACTTTGCGAAGGAGCTCACAGGGAACTTGTGTGCATGTTTGGTTCTTAAAAATAAAAGTGAAAAATGAAAGTTAATAGAAATGAAACTCACTTATT